AGCCATAGAACCCCTCCACTGCAAAGATGATGGGTCTTTCGGACTTATTTAGTCTTAAGCAATCAGTTGACCAACCGACTCATAATCGTGGACATGTTATTGATTGGGGGCTACATTGGCCTCAGGATGTTGTAGTTGCCTCTACTTCAATTGCCCATGAGCTGTCCTCAGACCACTTCTGTATTGTTTGTGACCTTAGCATTAGTGCCCCCTCCCCTCTCCATCAGTTCAGGGAGGTCCGCAATGTGCCTGCTATAAACAGGGATGCCTTTAAGCCGGTCTGAGTTTATAAATGTCCCCCGCCCTCTGCCCTGTTTGGGAAACACTAGACCGTGCATTGCGCACTGTGCTTGATCGGCACGCCCCCTCACCAGCCGCAATGTTAGGTCAGCACGATAAGCTCCCTGGTATGCGACCATAAAGGAAGAACTACACTGTGACAAGAAAGAGCGGCGTATTGCGGAAAAGAAGTGGCTGAGGTCAGGTTTTGTTTTTAGGCAAATGTATTACGCTTCAAAGAAGCGTGTGAACAAGATTGTTTGTCGTGCTAAGATTTTGTATTTTAGCCAAAAGATAATTATGAGTAAACCCGGTAGGCAGTTGTTCGATGTTTGTAGCCACATCAGAGGGAGCAACAAGGGAATTGCTCTTTCTTCAGTTAGTCATTGCCCTAGGAACCGTATATTTTCTGTAATTTCTATACAATAAAAGTTGCTGACATTCGTGCTGAGCTTGATCGTCTTGACATATCCCTCTAGATTTGCCTTATTTTTCTTGTGCTAGTTCACATTTCTATGTTTTTAAACCAGTTTCAGAACAAGAGGAAAAAAATTATTATTTTGAAGTCTAAACATACGTCTTGCTCTTGAACCCCCACCCCTGCAATAGAGGATGGACCACACCGATAGAGGAGGGACCACCACCACAATAGAGGAGGGTCCATTGGACCACCACCCCAATAGAGGAGGGACCATTGGACCACCACCCCACCCCTGCAATAGAGGAGGGACCACACCGATAGAGGAGGGACCACTGGACCACCACCACAATAGAGGAGGGTCCATTGGACCACCACCCCAATAGAGGAGGGACCACTGGACCACCACCCCACCCTAACACCACAATAGAGGAGGCCGCATTAGAGGAGGGACCACTACCCCATCCCCGCAATAGAGGTGGGACCACTGGACCAAACCCATCTGACCCCCGCAATAGAGGAGGGACCACTGTATTTGTTTCTTGTTGTCTTTTGTCTGCTGAAGAAGGATTTTATTCCAAAGATCCTTAATTGTCTTTTCCATTTATTTCAAGCCCAAACATACATTGTTCCTCTGTTTATTGACTTTACAACAGGGGTCTCAAACTTGCGGCTCGCGGGCCATTTGCAGCCAGCAAGACAATATTTTGTGGCCTGGTACCTGACAGTAAAGTTCAGTGTTAATGCGGCCCGCGCTTTACCCCATTCTCATATCTATAATGTGACTCTCCGAGAAGTTTTCAGTAGAATCTCTCCAACTAAAATTGTGATTTTATTATTGTTTTTATAGGTTTGGATGTTAATTAAAATGGGGGAAAAAAACTTTTAAATTGGACAAAAAGTTTTTATTTTATAGCATTTTATGAGACAAACATAGCCAAAGTACAAATTTGAACACAGGTTTGCAGACTAAGACACAGAGACATTTTTAAATGTTTGCTGATCCTTTATCCCTCAATACGGAAGATGCCCAGCACCTCCGCCTTTTTTTTTTTTTGCGCTTCAAATGGAGCTGATTGATCTGAGTGCAATTCTGAACTCAAGGCTAAGCTCAGGGAGGTGAATGGAAAAACAGACAAGCTTGGAAAATATATGAGAGAATTGCCCTCCAACTTCCCTGAGATTTCCAGGTTGTTCAAGCCGATTAAGTTAAAGTTCAGGGCCAAACTTACTGATGAGCATCTTTAAGTTATACTGAGAGCTTCAGTTGCTTCCTGACTCAAGCCAAATGTTGCTCAGCTGTGTAAGAAGAAACGCTGCCAGGTCTCGGGCAACAGGGGATAGGAAGCCTCCTTCTCAAGAACTTAAAAGTTTTTATTTGTTATTGATAATGGTGAGCAGATTGTAACGGTTGTTCTTTATTAGGTTTGTCATCACTTTTTAGTGTGGAATACTTGATGAGGCCCAGTCTCACCCAGACTTAACCTCCTGCGGCCCCTGGATCATTTGAGTTTGAGACCCCTGCTTTACAACATGCCTTGAATGCAGTAATTTATTATTAAATTATCCTTTAATTTTTAATTTTTTTTAAAGCAGTATTTCAAGATGTTGATGAATCAATAATTTACATACTTTCTGCCGAGATACCTTGCGCCATAAGCACCAGCACACAAAATCATAAACCCCCGTTCCCCACTCAGTGTATGTAGTATATGGATTTCCCCTTACTGGAACTAAAACACTCTGATGCAGATGTATCCCAACTGAGCAGCTACCGCCTTATAAGAAAGATTGACCAAATTACTTGAACTATTGAGGAATAAAATATAAAATATTAAACAATAAGAACCTAATGAATAAAAACCTCCCAGACTCACAGCATATGTTTGTGAACTTTCTTAAGGGCACAGTTCCTGAATGTAATAAATCTGATTTAAAATTAAACACATATTTCTTAATAAAGGAATCATAAGAAAAGATAACTAAGACATGGACTAAACATCTCTTAAATCTATTCCACTTGAGGTGCGGCTGCTTCCATTTCCGGCTGCTTCCTAACAAGCTGGCTGCCTCCTATTTTGCGCATTTGGTGCAGAGAGTATCTGTGCAGCTGTTGCTATATGCTTTGTACTTTGTGATGTATTTGAGTATGGGAAATGACTTTGTTAATGGTGTTATGTTTTAGCAGGTGCAGCAGTGATGGCGTAGTTAGTAATGGAGTTGTTTATTCTTAATATTCTTCGTTATAGTGGTCACAAATATTTTTAAAAATAACAAAGCAAAACAAGGAATAAGTAAAATTATTCTTATATAATTTACAATCAGGAACTAGAGTTTAATGTTTTAAAATATTCTAAAATTTCCTCAGCTCTGGATGCTTGCCAGCCACCTGCAAAGACTTGCTTTGTAGCAGCTCGGACATATACTTCTAAACAGGACTGGCCGAGCTGTGGTGCATTTATGGTGTCACAGTTATCTTTATCAAAATGTTCAGTATCACCTGCGATGTCAATACATGTATCTCTGGCTGTAGTGTCACCTCTGACCAGATCAGGAGTGGCGTGGCCTTCACCTTTCTTAATGTCTTCAAAGTTGGCCTTTGTGAACCAGTAACACATTTCACCACAGTACATTAAAGCAAGGAGGTGAGTACTGCTCAGGATACCTGTAAATATGGAAACACAAGTACAGTGTTTGAGAACACTTGAAGTTCCGAACAAAATGTATGACTAGATTCAATCACTAAGTGAACAAATGATTTTAAAGATTTAGTCTAAAGTTTGCTAAAACAAATTTAGTTTAAGATTTATATCAAATTTAGTCAGAGGTTAAAACAAATTTAGTCAGAGGTTAAAACAAATTTAGACAGGTTTATATAAGAAACAAAATATGATCAATAAGTTGAAATTAAATACAAATTGTTTTGTGCTTGTTAATTTTGTATTTATTGAACAAGATTTATTTAATGCTACCTAACTAAACAAATGCCTTAAATTAAAAACTGGAATCTCTCAGGCAAAAGGAAAAATCAATTTTTCTAAAAAAAATTAAGATTGAGGACTAAATGTTGAGTACCCAGTTAAATATAAAATAATGGCAAATAAATTTATATGAGTATATACTGAGTTCTATATGAGTATATACTGAGTTCTATATGAGTATAGACTGAGTTCTATATGAGTATAGACTGAGTTCTATATGAGTATAGATTGAGTTCTATATGAGTATAGACTGAGTTCTATATGAGTATAGACTGAGTTCTATATGAGTATATGCTGAGTTCTATGAGTATAGACTGAGTTCTATATGAGTATAGACTGAGTTCTATATGAGTATATACTGAGTTCTATATGAGTATATACTGAGTTCTATATGAGTATATACTGAGTTCTATATGAATATAGACTGAGTTCTATATGAGTATAGACTGAGTTCTATATGAGTATAGACTGAGTTCTATATGAGTATATACTGAGTTCTATATGAGTATAGACTGAGTTCTCTACATGAGTATTGACTGAGTTCAACATGACCTTAGACAGTATAAACCCTGGGGCAACTTGCCTTGAGCATATAAAAAACTTGAGTGATCATCTTCCTCACCATCCAATTCTTTCTCAGCAACATAAGTTGATTGTTCAGTCAACCAAGCAGGGGAACATTGGGAACACAACATTGACTTAAGGGATCGTATGCCCTTTTCTAAGCACTAGAAAAAAAGTATTTGTTTAAAGCTATATTAGATTTCCATCAAATGGCTGTCCGTGGACCTTCACCGGTCCGCAGGCCTAACGCTGCCGGTCCCCATAACATAAATAATTATAGTCAAATAGAAATAAAAGGTTAAAAGTAAATCATGCACCGGTCCCTGGTAAATTTCGAAACTTGTTCACCGGTCCGCCAAACTTAAATGTTTGGGAACCACTGAAATAAAGTATACAACAGCATCTCATTTAAAAATATGAATAGAATCTTTTGCAGAACAATCACAGAAGTTATGGTTAATAGATTAAATTAATGTTTTTTTAACTCTAAAAATAAAACAAATAAATAGCAATATTTTTTATTGAGATAATCATTTATTACTAGAAATAACATCTTGTTAAACAAACTGGAGAAATGCAATACTTGATTATTACAGGTGTTCTTAACTTAAAAAATTGGAGAAATGCATTACTTGATTATTACAAATGTTCTTAACTTAACAAACTGGAGAAATGCAAAACTTGATTATTACAGGTGTTCTTAACTTAACAAATTGGAGAAATGCAATACTGGATTATACAGAAGCACCAAAACACGAGATATTTCTTGGATACAGAGAGTTAAATAACAATGCTTTAATGACCTGCTGGTAGTGGGCTGGGAATGCTGCCTCAGATTCTGAGTTAAGAGTATGACAGTACATGTACATCAGGGCTCCATTCCTCCAATGTATGCATTCTACAACCTCAGGACCTAACACTTCAATGGGCTAGTGAATAATATTTTGAGATGTTAGCAATCAAGAATCTATAAATATCTTAACAAATCAACTTATTTAATTATCCCTGTGAATGGTTTTTCAAGAATCTCCCACAATTTAGAATAAAGTTACCAAATATTTAGATACGGTTAAAAAATAAAAATTTCCATAAAATTGTAATTCATCAATTATACTAACTCACTTGCTTTTCCTTGACCGTTTTTTGGGCCAATTGTTCAATACTGGATAAGGTCCCTGTTTATTAAATGATACATGAATTGAGATAAGTGCCCTAATGTTTTTTCCTTTAACAATTTAAATGCGCCCTAATGTTTTGTCATTTAACAATTTTAAAAAAAAGATACTTGAATTGGGTTGTGAATAAACCATTTAATAAAATTTTCATTGTGTTTGTATGCCATAAAACTAACAGAACAAACTAAAAAATCTTAACATCTTTTATGTGGACAATCAGGTTTCAAGACCGGTATTTTGTGATCCAGAAATGTACATTGAGGATCTGGAAAACAAAATTATCACCATGAAAGTTTGACAGTGAAACCTGTGAATACCAAACCTTGGAATAGTCCTTGACCCTGGCAAATGTGCTAACTCACCGCCGCAGGGATTGATTTTTTTTTAAAAAAAGTGTTTCCGAGGGACAAAAATCATGTTTTTCCTTGCCAATAGCACATACTGTGATCCACTGGCGAAGAATTACATTATGCACAGGGTGTGACGAAGATCTTTAGCTTTGCTAATCAGTCTGCTGCCATGCTGTGACTGTGTGTTTCTGGACTCAAGATCAAACAGCAAGTTACCAAGAGCTTTGCTTAGAGTTTGAGGGTTGTCAATGAACCATTTAGCACAATACAATCTTGCTCAGTTTCATAAATGTCATGTGCTCATTTCACATACATATAAATGTTTGCACTTTCTGTCTGTTTTGTAATTTTCTTCTTAATTTCAGTGCCCGTGTGTCATCTTCTTTCAAATTATGGTGAATGATTATCATTCTGGCTAAACCTTTTAATGATTATCATTCTGGCTGAACTTGTGAATAACAAACCCATTTTTGTTTGGCCCCAAGGGTTTGTGCTACTCACAGATTTCACTGTCGTCATATCAAAGACAAGCTTGTCACAAAACACAAGACTGAAGGTATATCAAAGACAAGCATGTCTCAAATGCCAAGACAAGCATGTCACAAATGCCAAGACTTGAGGCATACTTGTTTGGGATCAAAGAATTAACTTACAATTTATGTAAACATTTATTTCATTTTGAATCAAATATTATTGAATGTCATGGATAATCCAGATTTTTTATTACACAATTTACACTTGGTCGAATTTGAATTGGTTCAGATTATTGAGCAACCACTGTTTATATAAATGAATTAAAGAAATTGCTACAGCTTACCGATTAAATACAGGATGCGAGTATAAGGTGATGCTTCATCCAGGAATTCTTCATTTACAAGTTTACATTCTTCTAGGTAGGTCAAGTCTAAAACAAACTGTAAAGCATTTCTTTTTTTTATTTTAAGAAATTTATTGTGAATAGCTTTGCCATCTCTTACAGGAGATAAAAATAACAAATTTCAAATTTATATTATATTTTTGTACAATGATCAGTAACATAAAAAAGTAAAAAGTGACTTTAAAAAAAAAGAATAAAAAAGAATGCAGACCATTTAATAGAGAAATTTCATTTTGTAAATAAAAGCACAGAAAAACAATAATACACAAGCTTATATCCCAAATGGAAATTTGTATAAGATTTTTAATTTGTTTTATAAAATTATAATCATATAAAGGTAAGTCTAAAAAAAATTGATATCACAATGGCCATGTTCCCTCTAAGGTTTGTTGGTTCGTGTGCAAAATCATACAGTTGTGTGCAAATTTTTACAGCATCAATTTTTTTGTGTGCAAAATTTTACAGCCTACAAACACAAACACACATTTACATGGAAATTTGCTGCGCGGGTACTCAAAACTGCTGCACGGCATCTATGAGATAGCTATGCGGCCATGCAGCCACGCAGCTTAAAGGGAACATTGCACAATGGTCATTTTTCATATTGATGTAATGCACATTTGTCATTTTAGAGTGAAGAAATTTTAGAAATAGCATCAAACAGTACTAGCGTATTGATTTTTGAGAGGCTCACCTGAGCTATTCCCTGCAGGCACTCAGACACTAGAATATCTCGATCTGAGACATTTTTCTTTTTTCCAATGTCATCTACAAGTTTTGCACACTTATCAGTGTATAATGATTCTGCAATGGTCATTTCATCGCCATCTGAAACAATAAGTAAAGTTAATAAATAATCTATTACAAAGTTGTCACAAGCATATTTCCTAACAGGGTATGTGAACATAAACATTTTTTTAGTTTCACATTTTTGAACTTTTAAGAATGTGGTGGGTCTGTACAGTTTTCTGGCTATCTGTACGTCTAAAAAAGTATTGTGACGTTGTAATGTTTATCAGCTATGTTAATTTACATTTGATTACTTTAAATTTTGTATTTTGTTTGTAATAATTGATTCTATTTGAAGGTAAAAGAAATATGTTTTTGATTTTTTAATTTTATTTTAAAAGCCATCTATTATATATTTAGCTTCTGTTTTATCCTGCTTCCTTTTCACAAGATGGCAGCCATGGGAAATAAGAGGTGCTGATCGCATAAATTTACCATAAGATATAATTTTATTGGCATTATATTTCAAATAAAGTTTTGTCAGGAAACATTCTTTAAACTAATGTCACAGTGCCAAAGGCACTGTATGCTTTGGTTAGTGAGGTTTATTGAACACCGTCTGCCATCTAATATAAAACAACAATTTAACAGAGAAAACTTTTGATTCTCTCTAGAATGTTTCTTTTTTTTTGGTCTTTTTCTTCTTCTTTTTTTAATGTTAATTTTATATTTTTAATTTGGGAACGCTGTTCTGTCTGAGTGCCTTGTGATTTTCTCACTGTGCATTATTATTTGTGTATTATGCTTTAGAACACTATATTATGTAATATCAAAAACATACCATGTAATTAATATCATCAATCAAAGACATGACATGACAACACCTAGATTTAGATGTGAGACGTGACTGATAGATGGGCCCTAGTTAAAACCCAAAAACTTAAATCTTTACCACTTCTTTACCAACAAATATAAGGTAACCCAAATATAATATATATAAAAAATTAAAATGCAACATGAGACATGATGAATAATGAATAAATGAATTATGAAAATGAAAAGTTTTTTAGTTTGGAAAAAGCCAAGGCCAAGAAGTGCCTAGGCCTAGTCTAGTTATTTAACTTAAACTTAAGCCTAGGCTAATGGCAACGGTCAGAGATTTTAAAATGTTATTTTGTAATTATGATTTGGTAATATTTTATTAAAATATGCTAGTACCGAGTCGCAATGACATTTCCTTTAATATATTTTTGCAAAACTCCGTAAAACTAGTTTGCAAATCATCAGCATTTTCCTCCATCTTTTTTTTTAAGTAGAGATAATACCGCCCCAAAAAGGGGAGCTCACCATGATAAACTATTAATACAAGTCCAGAGTTTTCTAAGTTTAATGCTAAAACGCCCCACAGTTAAATTTTTTATTTTTTTTTAAATATATTATATATATTATATATTTAAAAAACCACACAAAAAAAAAAACACCTAATGAAATGCAATAAGGACAAATGGCCTACTTGAAATGGTAAATTGAATCAAAGCTGTCTTCTTATAAACATTATGTGATATTTTTGTCATCATCAAGCGTTATTTTATGAAAAGATATACAATTTAAAATGCTTGACTTTGAGTTACGATTTCAGTCAACCCAACCCCCAATTTATTGTTGATATAGAATAATCTAGATAATTAGGCTCTTCTACTCACATTTTATGTTTATTTCACTATTTGGAATTTTAATATGGTTTGCAGAGTGCAATGATATTATGGTCATTGCTTACAGCCATGACATGTTCCCTCTCTCTATCACTTCAGAATGAACGTCCACGAATCTCTAACTCTACTGCTCGTGTCTCCAAAAAACTGTTCCGTGATATTTCTCGTAACGTGACTATAAAATAAACTCTACTAGATACGCGCCCCACGGTCATTGAATTGCTACCCAATTATATAGCCTACTAGATTATGTAATATCAAAAACAATCGTTCTCTTTCTGTTCAGAGATTGCAAATGACGCAATAGTGAGTATGGGGGAAATAAATATACAATTTTATTTTATTCCAAAATTCTGTACATGCTCATCTTTTCTGAAAACGAAAGAGACATTCATAGTTTCACCCCACCCCACCCCACCCCTAACCCCCACCTCTTCCACCACCACCACGGAGAAAACAAAATAGTGTAGTCTGACATAACAACATTGGTTCCATTATTTTTCAATCAGAAATCTACTATTGAACAAATTGACCAATTAATCCATTTAAACTCTACATGAGTATTATGGTGGTACTATCAGAATTGACACCACGTCGACACGTGGACCACGTGTCTTAATGCCAGCATGGTGTTCAACGTATGTTATTTATTCCGTCAGCTGATATTTTGGATACATTTTAAATATTAAAAATTTAAATATGAAATATTAACATTTTAATTTTAAAAAATTGCCCCAGTCGCCATCCAAATAATTGCGATTGTAGTGTTACTTTCAGCAGTTATCCAACTTTGATCGAGTTTACACTTTGAGTCTGTTGATTTCAGCAGTTATCCAACTTTGATCGAGTTTACACTTTGAGTCTGTTGATTTCAGCAGTTATCCAACTTTGATCGAGTTTACACTTTGAGTCTGTTGATTTCAGCAGTTATCCAACTTTGATCGAGTTTACACTTTGATTCTGTTAATTTCAGCAGTTATCCAACTTTGATCGAGTTTACACTTTGAGTCTGTTGATTTCAGCAGTTATCCAACTTTGATCGAGTTTACACTTTGAGTCTGTTGATTTCAGCAGTTATCCAACTTTGATCGAGTTTACACTTTGAATCTGTTCATGCAGTGCTTCTTTTAGGGGAGGTGGGGGAGGGGGATCATGTAAGATTTTCGGGTTGGCAGTGCCAGTGACAAGAGGAGTAGCTAAGTAGCTAAGGGTGGACAGAGGGGACAGACTCCCCGGGTGCCATAATAGTGGTGGCGCCAAAAAGGACTTTGATTTTTTAGAGTTTTAGAGTTGGGGCGAGGGGGGGGGGGCGTAGAAATGGATCCTGTCGCCAATGACTCTAGTTACGCTTCTGCCAGTGGCCTAGAAAGGGGGGCGTATAGGGTGGCCACTCAAGTGTTGATTTTTTCTTTATCTGGGGGTGCAGCACTTTCGGTCAAAAGCAAAGTTTGTGTCGTGAAAGGAAATACGCCACACATCTTGGGCCAACCATAGCGGCACTAATACTAGCCAGGCCACTAAGCAGTCTATCTATCGGCACCAAAATGTGTGATCATTTCATCTTGGGCCAACCATAGCGGCACTAATACTAGCCAGGCCACTAAGCAGTCTATCTATCGGCACCAAAATGTGTGATCATTTTAATCGGGATCTAAGAACTAAATCGAGGGTGCCGACGAAAGTTGAGCGGAAGATGGGTCTGGGGAGCGCCCTCCCAAGAAAAGTTTTGAGTACCGTATTTCAAAATCAATAAGTGCATTTTGGAGTATACCTGAATTCAATGTTTCTATTAGACTTCTTGATCGTGGGGAAGAAATTTTTAAGCGTCCGGGGGAGGTATTATGGCGCCCAGTCCAATACATAAAATGAATTCCCCCTGGTTGTGGCGTGCCCCAGGGTATTCATTTGCTGCCCACGGATAATACTTCTAAGGTAAGTGCTATTTTTAAATTTTATTCTGTTTTTTTCCCCTGTTTTTGTTTTGTTCGCTGACGAAGGCTTCCTGCTGACACGTTCGTTGTGTTGTTGCGTTCCTTTTCTCAGGTTTAACCCTACTTTGTTTTAACCATTTGATATTGTGCTAACTTGATTGCAGTCTCTCCCCTTATTACCCAGGGTATTCATTTAGCACAAGCTTATATTCCACCCCATACTGTAACATTGATCAGCGTGAGGGAGTGGAGTGCAGAATTTGAGGGTGCTGAAGACATTTGGGAAAATTTAAAATGCAGGGTCGCATATTGGTACACATTTGAATTCAGTGTTTCTTTCAGACAATATTTGGGGGCATTTCAAGCTTTGGGGTGGGAGGCGTAAACTTTAGTCATAATAACAATCAATGACGTCTCAAACTCCACATTAGCCCAACATGAACTAAATTCATTCCAGTCGTTGTGACCTTGATGGTACCCTTTTTGCCTTGGCTTATTATCACACCTTAAATCCTTCAAGTCCCAAGAAAATTTTTGATAAATTCAAAATACAAGAAATCATTTTAGCACATACATGAATTAAGCTTTTCAGCATTCTACACTTGATGGAGAGCAGAGGAAGAGATGCTAGTTCCAAATTCAGGTGTCACTTAACCTTAGAGCAGTGGCTGGCAAATTTCGGCTCGCGAGCCCCATGTGGCTCTTTAGCGACGTGAGTGCGGCTTGGCCAAATCGGTATTGACTCCGAAAAACATGGTTCTTAACAATAAATTTGGCTCTCAAAAATTTATTAATCGTCCTGCTGCTGTTTTTTGGCTCTTTTGACTAACACGTATGCTGACCACTGCCTTAGAGGCATCGTGTGGGCCCAGCAACCCCTGCGGATTCGCAAAGTCTCCGATAGTTTGGGGGCTTTAAGTTGTGATGTGGACTCAAATTTAATTATTAACTTTGAATGTGTTAAGTCAGGACACATGTACAGTTACATACAGGGCGATGTGTTATGTTAGGACACACATACAGTTACATACAGAACGATTTGTTGTGTCAGGACACACGTACAGTTACATACAGGGGTGTTTGTTATGTCAGGACACACGTACAGTTACATACAGGGGTGTGTGTTATGTCAGGACACACATACAGTTACATACAGGGGGATGTGTTGTGTCAGGACACACGCACAGTTACATACAAGGCGATATATTAAGTAAGATCAATTTACCAGGAACACAATCGGCCTCAGCACAAGGCGATATTTTTTGTACATAAATTAAAAGAGATAACACCCACATACACACACACACACAGAGAGATTCAGACACACACATACAGGATTCTATTTAATGTTCAAATCTTTTCAAACTAAAATCACAGCAGGTATCTGCATGCTTTGTTGTGTTCAATTATGACTTCCAGTTGCATTATTTTTTTTAAGGCAATGACCATCATCTGTCTGAAATGACCTACATCTGGTTGAAATGATAAACATCTTGTTGAAATGACCAACATCTGTCTGAAATGACCAAAATCTGGTTGAAATGACCAACATCTGGTTGAAATGACCACCATTTGCGGAAATGACCAACATGTTGCTGAAATGACCAACATCTTGCTGAAATGACTATATGGCTGAAATGACCAACATCTGGTTGAAATGACCAACATCTTGCTGAAATGACCAATATCTTGCTGAAATGACTATATGGCTGAAATGGCAAACATCTTGTTGAAATGACCAACATCTGTCTGAAATGACCAACATCTTGCTGAAATGACCGAAATCTGACAGAAATGACCAACATCTTGCTTAAATGACCAACATCTGTCTGAAATGACCAAAATCTGACAGAAATGACCATCTTGCTTAAATGACCAACATCTTGCTGAAATGACCAACAGGTTGCTGAAATGACAAAAATCTGGCAAAAATGACCAACATCTTGCTGAAATGACCAACATCTTGCTGAAATGACCAACATCTGCCTGAAATGACTAGATGGCTGAAATGACCAACATTTAGCTGAAATGACCAAAATCTTACTGAAATCACCAACATGTTGCTGAAATGACCCACTTCTGGACCAAATTAGCCGAGATAGCTGTGTTGATGTTTATCTATTGTTGTTCAATTATAGAATCATTTCTGTTGTCTTGAATCATTCTATTAAAATGACAACAGTAAAATAACTCTATTCCGTTTTTCTTTTCAAAGCTGTACAACTTAAGCGCCGCCTACCAATAAAATGATCGTAAAGTGTCTGTCTAGATCACGTGTCATAATCGGTTCGCCTTTTATAAACACACCTGTGTCTGGCTGGCTGGCTGGCTAACTGACTGACTGACTGGCTGACTGACTGGCTGTCTGACTGGCTGACTGACTGGCTGACTGACTGGCTGACTGACTGGCTGACTGACTGGCTGACTGATTGATTGACTGACTGGCTGGCTGGCTGACTGACTGACTTGCTGACTGACGGGCTGGCTGACTGAATGACTGGCTGACTACTGTCTGACTGACTGGCTGACTTACTTCCTGCCTGGCTTGCTGAATGACTGATTGACTGGCTGGCTGACTGACTGGCTTGCTGTCTGACTGACTGACTTCCTGAATGACTCGCTGGCTGAGTGACTGAATGACTTGCTGGCTGACTGACTGACATAACATTTGACCGTACCG